AGTCGGCAACTTTTGAGTGGATAAATAACATTTTTAAAATACTTTCTTTATAGTAGAAAACTTTAAAGTTTTGGTATAATGAGTATCATATAATCACTAGTGGTTTCATGTATTGTCCGCACGTGGAAAGTAATGCTTTTACAGCTCAAAAGAAATGAAAAAAATCTTATGCTCCAATGGGAAGATGTGATTTAATATTGGTCCTCACCGAATTTTTGGATATTTCTATATTATTTGTTTTCCTACATTTTTTTTATTCTACACTACAGAAAAAAAGTCAGGTTTGATTCATAAATGCCTTAGATATTCACTTTCTAATGTTCAAGCCACAATGCCCACATATTTTCAGAAGACACAAATAATACCTCAAGAACAATTTAAATAATAATATATCATGAGAGTACTTTTAGTAGTATAACTTAACACAATCGATCAATAAATATATAATTTGAATTAACAAAATGAGTTACTCAATGTACAAAAATATCATTCATTTTTTTTCTTTCAAATAAAATTAACTAAATATTTCACTATCAAAGATCAATTTTTTTTTGTTTTCTTTCCAAAAAATCACTGAAGCCCAAAGCCCACTTTGGTAATTTAAACAAAAAGACAATTAAATGGAATGGACTCTTTCTTCTCCTCCAGCTATGTCCGAAAAAAGCACATGGGCCCCAATCCAACCCAACACACACATAACTAACCATGGTTAACATTTAACCAAACCATGGTTTAACATTAAACCCTTTGGTTTACACTCATCATTTCTTCTCTTTTAACACCACCCATCTGTCTTCTCACTTTCTTCTCTCTGCTTCACACTCAAAACACTGAAACTCAAAAACCGTCTCTGTAATGGCGGCGACACATACTTTCTCACTCCTTGCCTTAACTTTCTCTCTCCTCACCATCACCACCACCGTAAAATCCCACAACATCACTCAAATCCTCGCTGATTCACCAGATTACTCTTCCTTCAACAGCTACCTTACACAGACCAAACTCGCCGACGAAATCAACAGTCGCACGACCATAACTCTCCTCGTACTCAACAATGCCGCAATGTCATCACTCGCCGGAAAACATCCACTCTCCGTCATCAAAAACGCATTAAGCCTCCTTGTCCTTTTAGACTACTACGACCCACAAAAACTCCACGGACTCTCAAAAGGCACAACTTTATCAACAACACTTTACCAAACCACCGGAAACGCTCCCGGAAACCTAGGATTCGTCAACATCACCGATCTCAAAGGAGGTAAAGTCGGGTTCGGATCCGCAGCTCCAGGATCCAAACTCGAATCTTCTTACACGAAATCAGTTAAACAAATCCCTTACAACATCTCTGTTCTTGAAATCGATGCTCCGATTCTAGCTCCGGGAGTTTTAACAGATTCCTCCGCCGTGTCAAACATCACCGGATTACTCGAAAAAGCCGGTTGCAAAACGTTCGCGAATCTACTCGTCGCTAGTGGTGTACTCAAGACCTACGAATCCGCCGTTAAAAATGGCTTGACGGTTTTTGCACCGTCCGATGAAGCTTTTAAAGATGAAGATGTACCGGATCTGAAGAATCTCACGAGTTCTGAGGTGGTCTCGCTCTTAGAGTATCATGCCCTCGCTGAGTATAAACCTAAAGGTTCATTAAAGACTAATAAAAACAAAATCTCTACTTTAGCTACTAACGGTGCCGGAAAATTCGATTTAACGACGTCTACTTCCGGCGATGAAGTTGTTCTTCATACCGGCGTTGCTCCGTCGCGGCTTGCTGATACGGTGCTTGACGCTACTCCGGTAGTGATTTACACGGTGGATAATGTTCTTTTACCTGTTGAGTTATTTGGGAAATCTCCTTCT